AAAAGGTGTTTTTTTTTTTTTTTTTTTTTTTTTTTTTTTTTTTTTTTTTTTAAAAAGCTTGTAGCAGAATTGATTCTCCCTATACTTTCTTTTGCTTTCTTAGAGCATTGTATAGTTAGCCTGATTTTGGTTTATTTCTACTTTCTCATTTCACTGTTTTTGCTGTTGCTTTTGCTTTTTTGCTTTTTCCTTTCTGTTTTGAGGGGTAAGTCATTTATCTATGGCAGTGGTTCTCAACTTTTTTGGACTTGAGGTACCCCCCACTGGATACCTCTCTATAACTTTTGTGAATTGAGTGGCAGCCAATTTCAAAAACTAATTTATACATTTATAGTGCTTACCTCCTTACACTGAGGCTGGGCAGTAGGGGTAGAGGATTGTCCAGGCAAGGACAAGCCTGAGCTTGGCTGGTCTGCTTGGCTTATTTGCTTATTGCCTCACACCACAGGATCTAGTACCCTGGTTGAGAATTACTGAACTAGGGTGATAGAAGTGGAGAACAGTGAGAGAAAAAAGTGAGGTTCCATGAAATTAATCAATATTAGTTTTGTCATGTTAAATATAGTTTGCTTGTAAAATAAAAGCTCACTGTATCCTTGAACATAGGTCTGTCATTTTTTAAAAGAAACAGGCGGAGGTTGAGTTTTAATATTTGGAACCTTCCAACAGAAAATACAATGTGTTGCCCATAACATCCTTTTACTGTAAGAGAAGGCAGTATATTGATAGAAATAAGTTCTTAGTGAACTTGATTCAATGCATTGCTTGAGACATAACAAAAGAGAATTTATTACCCAAGTCTCAACATCCATAAATATCACCTAAGTAAATTTTATGTACTTTTAAATATCCATTGTTATACTGTTGTTTTAAGTTCATCTGTGGCGATGTATTTGTCCCCATGCCTTTGTTTTGCTGCTTGCTTTATTTTATAAAATATGTTTCACGTTATGTCTCTAAGACAGAATGTCCGAACAGAAACATATAATTTCCTGTGACTTAGTATCGCTGTCCAAAACAAAACAGTCTTTTATTTTTTTTCTATTTTTTTCATCTTGGAGTGATATTGTAATTGTCTTGGTCCAAGAATAATGCAAGAGGCAAGGATTGCTTAGGGTGATATCTTTTATTGGACAAACTGCATAGTTGGGATAGAATTAGACAAGCTTTTGAATCAAGACATTCTTCTTCTTCACGATCCGTGCCTCTTGTTTGATCATAAGCTTATGCTAAAGAAGCATTAGCTATTGTATGCTTTTATATAAATTGCATTATGCATTACATAGATACATTTTGAACCAAAATTGTAATGTCATAGAACTCTAGTCTGAGTTACAACTGAGTATGTAATAAAAGTTAGGTTCAAGCCCATTTATAGAGTTCTTTTTCAAAGAAGAGAGAAGGTTTTCTGAGGATGTGGCTGGGGTAGCATTTTGAAAGTTGTGTTAACATTCTTGTTTGTTTAATTTATAAAAAAAGTATTAAGTAACAGTTGCTCTTCGTATATAATTTATGGTAAAATTAATTTTTGGAAATAACTTGTATTTAGAAACTTATGTTGTATGCTTATCAAAACTTAAGTAGTGAGAGAGAACAGCTATTTTCTATAGTGAGAGAAAATACTGAAAATGAGTCCTTAATTTTGCTTTATTCAGTATGAGAGACACAAAAAGTTTGTGAATGACTACATTTTATACTACGGTGGCAAAAAGGAGGACTTCCAACGTTCAGGGTGAGAACCATTGGAATACAATCTGTTATCTAAAACTATTAAATATATGCTCGATAATTTCTCTGTGAGTTATTAAAATTGTGAACTCTCTGACCAGATCTTTATTCTTGTATCAAATTTTTAACTCTGCAGTGACATATACAGACTCTGGAAAATTGTGACTTTGATGCAGACAATTGTTTTGTCTTAACTTTGTACGGATGACAAAAAGTTATATAAAACCAATTGGAAATTTTTATTTTTATGTTGAGAGAGCATGTGGATGGTGCATATAACATAATATGGTGTTTTGCT